TACAGCTCTTATCATAAGTTAATCCAAGGTAAGGGTTTGGCTGTGCCAGGAAAATGGGATGTGCCCAGAATGGGGTTGCTTCTCATAAAACCATACAGAAAAGGTGAAAGGGGCTGGCTTGGGTGCCCCCTTCCATCCAGGACTGACACAGCCCTGAGCCTCTTATCCCCAGGCACCCCTTAGGAAGAGCTAGAGGGAAGGGGGAGGGGGCCTGAAGCCACACCCCCAATTCATACAGGGACATTGGCTGTTGCTGGCTGTTTCCCATTGCCAGGGAGCCAGGGGAAGTGCACAGTTTGCTGCATTCCCCACTCTGGCCAGAGAATATAGGGAACAGATGAACCTGGACCTACCTCGGACAGGGGACATGCACCCTTTCCCTGTCTGTGCCCACTGTAGCTGCAGTCGCCTTGGACAGGTGCTTCTCACCTGGGCCCAACCCCAAGCAGCTGCAGTGAGAGAGGGCTGGGGTAGAGTTTGTCACTGATCTCACTCAAATGCTGGGAGCTGGAAGAGAGGGTTGTTTCTTCACCACGATTTCATAGACAGAGGAAACCTCTACATGCTAATTCCCCCCCCTACCTGGTGAAAGGGACCCGTGGATGTCCAGGAGGTAAAGTCTCACACTGACACTTTTAACAACACAATTCAAAAACATCTTTCCTATATGACTACATTCAGATGCCTTCCGGCATGTCCCTTGCAGGCCAGCTTACCTCTTATTTCTGACTACATTTGAAAACATTATGCAGTGCTATAAGAAAGGCACATTGTGAAACATTTATTTGCAAAACACAATATATAACACAAAACGGTTTCTTTTGCACTGCTTGTTGCACACACTGGTTAGTAAAGAACCTGTAAGTGATTTTAGATTAGTGAATGTTTTAAAAAAAGATTATGCAATCACTATAGCATTATTATCTTCATCTGATTAAGTCCTTTGAAGCTAAATGGAGAATAAAAAACATCTATTCTGAGGAGATGGTGTACAAGGCTCATCTTTCAGACATCTACTAAGAATGGCACAAAATCCAATATTCTTAAACAAAGAACTCTTCTCTTTCGATCTCTGGAGGTTTGTATAAGTCTGTCCTCGGTGTGAGAAAGAAGAAGGGGGAGGCAAGGTGGAAGTACAGTCTGAGTCTATTGAATGAAATAGCTTAACTATCAAATGCATCATAGTTTGCAAAACAACCCTTCTCTCATTCAAATTGCTCCTAAAATCTTACTTTTCCCATGATGTCTACAAGAAATGAGCTTAGAATAATTAATGACAACAACAAAACCACCACAACTACCATAGGTGCAGTCATAACTTTGTATTGTGCTGTTGTGCACAGTACTGTGTATTGTCAAAATAACAACTGCTCTAACACTAGGAAAACTAAGCAAATGGGAGTATTCAGCTAACCTAAACAATGATAATTTTCCACGTTTATTGGAAACTCACATGAATAGATGTAGCACAGAGTCAGAGATTAAAAAAAAAAAGAAATTGGAAACTTACTCCATTTATTGTGGGAATGAATTTAGTGCTTGGATTCAATCACCCAGAAGGCAACACATTTTTAAACAGTAGGAAATTTTTCCATGACAAAGGGAAATAGCCACACACTAATAACAGTTGGAAAACAAACCAAACCAAACCAGATTATACACAATGAAAATTCTCCTCTGTATGTATGACATCTGGAATATAGCCTATGAGTGATTAGGCAACAATAAACAATAGAGTTAATCTTAAAATGAATTGGAAATTGGAATGATTTGGCCTTTTGATGTATGTGTTTGAGATTAGGGAACTGATTTTCAAAGGGACAGAAGTCCTGAGCTATGCACAATTGCATATCTGATATTTATGCATAGTAGCTGTTATCTTTATTTGTTTTTCATATTGCGATAGCATCCAGAAACACCAATCAGGATCAGTTCAATGTCATGCTTGGTGGCATACAAATGTATGGTAGAACCAAAGACCTTACAATTAAGTTTGAAACTGCCTTTGGTGAGTGAATATAATGAACAAAGAGTGAGACAAATACAGGGAGGATGGGGGAAAGGTACATTATTGGGGTTGTTTATCCTAACGGCATAGACATCCAAGGAACACATTCTGGAGGTGGGGGGTGTTGAGCCACCCAGTGGTTCCTGTCCTGTGTGGCTGGGTCTCATTCCTTGCTCTAGCCCATTGGCTCTTGCCATTGCTGATGAGCATGTCTATGTGCAGGCAGGGCTTCCCTCTCATACCCTGTGCTGTCCTCTTCCTGGCTCTGGCGATGCTGAACATGGGGCTTCACCTACCAAACTGGGCATGCTCTTTGGTGGGATGGCTTAGGAAATTGCATGTTGACAAATAACTTTCCATTAAGGGCTTGATTCTGCAACAAAGTAGGCACTCTCAGCCCACTGATGGGAATGAAGATACTCTGTCAGTATCTTAGAATCATAGAAAATTAAGGTTGGCGGAGACCTCAGGAGGTCACCTAGTTCAAACCCTTGCTCAAAGCATCCCGGGCAGGGCCTTGTCAAGCTGGGCCTTAAAAACCTTTCAAGTGTCTTCAGCACTGTGCAGAATCAAACCACAATGGAAGAGAGGAGGATAAGGGAAGGACAATGTTGCAAGAGGCTTAACTTAAAAGCTTAACTTAAAAGCAAGGTCAGGGATTGGTTGTGACAAGAAAATGGGAAGTGCTGGGAATGGGACTGTTTTCCATAACATGGAAAGAGAGGGGCACAGAGAACAGGGACATGATATTGAGAGCGGTCACTAAGGACAGTAAGCCCACAGGAGAGAGCTATGTTAAAGAGAGACCAGTGGGGCTAGCTGCACCACCAAGAGGGGAGCCAGCTGGCTGGAGCTTCACCATCTTGCCAGCTACCAGACCTGGTAAGTAGCCCATCTGCCCCAAATCCCTCCCTCCCAGCCTTTGGCTGCACTGCTGGAGTGGAGAAGACCCCTGGCAGTCAGGGGGACACAGAAGTCCCCTCTGGCAGTTGGGGTGGAGTGAGACAGAAGGTCCCTCCTGGCCAGGGGAGGCCTGGAGGAGACAGAAGGTTCCCAATTGCCAGAGGGGCTTGAGGGAGACAGAATGCTCCTGCCATCCACAGAAGCTGTGGGGGAGGCAAAAAACTTAAATGTGACCTGATGGGAACCAGTGAAGGGATCTCTAAGTTAGCGCAATGCTCACAGTAACTATATGTGCAAATGGCCAGTTAGATGTCTAACTTCCATGTGCATATATAAATACCACATATTTCAGTGCAATTGTGGTCACTCTATGCACAAAAAAAGTGCATTACATGCAGCCCTAGCCTTTTGCCCTTTTGAAAATGAGGTCCGCAATGTACTTTACATGGATGATAATATCTATTAACCTCTCCCAAGGAACACAGTATGTTTTTAATTAATTAGCTTTGCCTTTAATAAAAAGTCAGCCTCCAGTCAAGTTAGAAGTCTATTGTACAAGTCTTTGACTGATAGAGGAAACATGCCCTGTAGAATATCTGTCTGAAGCAACCTTAACATCATTTTGTATTAGCAGTGTGTGAACTTTACCAAAGAACAAAGGGACTAAGTCAAATATCACTGCGAACATGAAAAGTACATGTTCAACAGACTGTTATCTGTCATATTACAAGCTAAATTCAGCACTAACCTGCAGTATTTTACTGGCTGTCTGCACATGAGAGTAATAGTTTGTTTAAAAGGTTAAATTTTTGTTGAAGAGGCAACAGTTCAAATACTTTTTGTACATTATTTGGCTGCATTTTCTGCTTTTTGAGATGCGGTGGTGTGAGACAACAAGAGTGTCTCACAATAGTTTTTATTGTGACAAAATAGAAATCACAAGAAAGTGAAGTAAAAATCCAATTCTTTGGAATTCATGACAATGAATATTGGAGGGATCAAATACACCACGGTTTAACATTTTCTGACTGTCCTGAGTACAAACTTCATGGAAGAGTTACCAGGATCAGACCCTGTTAGAGGTAATACGATTTGCATACTTCTACTTTTGCTTTAAGAGTAGGATAGAAACATGCCACAATAGATGTCTACTGATATCACATCCTTTTTAGTAAGAAAAACCCACAAAAGTTGTGATGACCAAGAAGATGCCACTGAAAAAAATCTAAATGCAGCAGTGACTTTCAAATGAGAATATACCAGAAAAACAGAAAATTGTTGGCAGATGCAGTCGTCAAAAGCTAACACAGAAATGGCAGACTGTGAAATGCATCGCGGAAGCTCTGAGAAGTTTCAGGTGATGAAGATATAAAGAGGGAAGGAAGAAAATTTAAACCAGTATATGTTTCACAACTACTATTCAGTTTTTCTTCACATGAATTGAGGAAGGATTTTATGCATAGAAAACTAGGTTGGACACTAGAACAATTTATTAGCTAAACTAAACAATAAGGAAGTCAGACTCAGATTCATTCTAGCCTCGCCAGAAAACTGAAACATGCTGTACATTCTGCATATTACAGACAGAAAGCTATTTATTACTTGACAATCAAAATAGAACATAATGTAAAATTTAAGAAAAAATGTTCACATGATAAGCAAAATGTAGATATGTTGGTACGATAACACTGTAGAATGCAGAATTTAGTTATTAAACATCTTAACTGCAGAGGAATACCACTCTCACTATTCAAGTAAAAACTAATGTGAAAAAGTTGTGTGTGCAAACTGCCCCCACTCAAGAGGAAAGGTCAGACTTTTTAAGTCTATCCCACAACATAGTGCTTAAAGCATCAGAAATGACTGGAAGTAGGTATAATACAAAGTATAATGCACCATGAAAATCTTCTTATGATAATACACATTTACAAGATGGTTTTGTTGCCTCATGCTGTGGAAAAGTTTATCAGGCTAATTTGAGAAATGTTTCTTGCTACAAGTCGGTTCCCATTTATTAGTTTGACTGTTATTCCAGCGAATGAAAATGTGGCAAATAAAATCAAATAAAACCAACAATAGATTTTCTTACCTCTTCCTTCTCAGCACTTTGCAAATCCCGCCACTCCTCAGTCACATGGCCAAAGTCCACTGTGTTCATGGCCACCTTATATTCCCCAATGATATCATGCTTGGAGAAACGATCAAAGTCATATACTGCCATCACTAAGGTTTTCCCACCCAGCTCAGAGTACGGCACCTATAAAGAAGAAAAAATGACAAACTCTCTATCTAAGACAATAAAGATGGGTTCACTGAAATGCAAATCAATTTCTTTGGTTTATCAGCTGTCATCTTGTGTAAATTGAACTGGGGGAAAATTGCGAGGTATATATTTTTGTTGTCACCTGATGCACTGTTTCCCAAGACCAGTATACAGCACTCAGTAGAACAATGTGGCAGCTCACTTATCACTCCCCAGTTTTTGCCCTCTGTCCTCAAATTTTATTTTGTGTGTGGTGAAACTGAAACTGGATGCCAATTATTTGCCCCAAAGTTATGTGAGCTTTTAATACTATATGGTTTTTGCCAATAAATCATACTGTCAACACTCAGAAAAGAGTAGCCCAGAGACTGATGAGAAACTACAGTATTGACTTACTGCCTCTGACACTAGGTAATAAGAGACTAGACTGTCTTCTTATAGGTCAACTATTTATGACTTAGCCAGGTATAATTTTTCAACATTATACCTTTCATGCAATAGATACTAAGGTTCCTTCCAAGACACAGTGTTTGGTTAGAAATTGCCGAGGCAGTAGGCAGTAGGCCAAGTCCTGACTAATTCTCCAGCTGTTCTAATGGGTATGGGACAGATGCTCTGGGTTAGATGTTTATTAGACGCATTTTTAATATTCAGGGTAAGCGATGCAGTTCAGGTAAGCTACACTTGAGTAGGTGACTAGAAAAGCCTAATTAAAAATTGTTTGAATGTGCACTGAAGGCTTGGTCAATTTTAATAAATTCTCTACATTTTGCTAGTATAAATGATTGCCATACGCTTCAGTACACATTTCTCTAGTAATTGTCTGTATAAAAAAGGGAAGCCATACCATACTGCAATATTTGGCCATATGAACATTCAAATGTTCTAGTTTGTTTAAGTTCTTGGTCTTCAAATATTGTGTGACTATTTGGCTTTCACTTGATTTTTAAAATATTGACTTAGCCTATGATATTTAACCTTTTATTGTACAGTATTTAGAACAGTTATACAGATTGTTTCAAGTTAAGGACCTGATCCTGCCTCCGTTAAAATCTATGATAACTTCAGTGGGAACAGCCTGTGCATTAACATTGTATGCATACACAACAGTAAAATATATGTTTAATATTGTAAATTAGTTTTGTAAGAAGCACCTTTTAAATGGGGTAGCAGGTTTAGACATACACTAAGAAACATTAGTCTTTATGGTAATATTAAAATAAAATTCCTTAATGCAGACTTGCTCCGAGCTTTGCATTAGTCACCTTTTGGAAGCTGGTTTTCCCCCTCATTTTCAGATTGGCTGTTGCAGAGAAAGGTTTTAACCTTTCTCTCCATAGCCCAGGGACTTGATGGGTAGTTAGGTTGTAAAATTCAAGATGTTGTAACTTGGCACCTGCCCACTGCAGGTACTCATTTAATAGGAGATCTAGTTCTCTGATAAACAGAATTGGAAATGGTTTAGAAGAAGGCATCCCCAAAAGAAGACAGTGAACAGACTTGGGGCTTTTAATGTCTGGTGCAGTAGGGAGACTCCCTCTCGCCTACCTTAGTCCTTGTGCAAGAGGACAACAATGTTGCTAGGACCAGGTAAATGGAGTGTGTGAGAGAAAAGTCCTCCACCAAGTGGCTACAGACTGCAGCAGGTACTTGTGATTGTTAGCTTCCAGGTGTGTTACCCATTAAAGGTATGTCTAGACTACAGGTTTTTTTCGAAAAAAGTGGCCTTTTTTCAAAAAAATTTCTCCTGCATCTAAACTGCTGTCACGTTCTTTCAAAAGTAAATCAAAAGAACGTGGCAGTTTTTTCGACCGTGGAAAACCTTGTTTTACAAGGAAGAATGCCTTTTTTGAAAGTGCTCTTTCGAAAAAAGTCAGGCATATCCAGACTGCCTGGGTGCTCTATTTTGAAAAAGCAGCTTGCTTTTTCAAAAGTATTGGTTGTAGGCTAGATGCTCTTTTTCGAAGGATACTTTTGAAAGAGGCTTGCAGTCTAGACGTAGCCTTATAAAACTGAAACCTAGTTAAACCTCATTTTTGGTGTTCTGACTTTCTTTCTGTTGTGTTCAAGAAAATGGTGGCATTTGACAAGCCCAGCATATTGTCAACAATATTATTTTCAGATGTTCCATGCTATACTGTCAGCCCTGCTCCATGTTCAATACAAAGGAAGAAATTGTGTCCCAAGTGAAATCAGTGGCAAAACTTCCACTGACTAAGACACAAGTCAGCAGCCCAGAAAACACAGAGATTGCACATTTCTCTTTTTCTGGGAAGTTTTGCCACCTGACACTACCAAGAAATCCTTTCTGGGGTTTTCCTCAGAGGCAACCCTTTAAATTCCACAGCACTTTACCTTTAGATGCTAAAGGAATAAATCCAGTTCAGCTGGATTCCCCTTTCCATGCATTCTGAGCAAGTTGTAGCTGCATAGGTTAATTTTTTTGCATCATAATATTTATGATAATAAATGTGTTAATTTAGAATTTAGAATGTTTTAAACAGTGGGTATCCCAAAGAACAGCTGCTTTTATCCTTCAAAGCAGTGAAATCAAGATAAAATCATCTTGTCTTGAAGTACCGCAAAGCAATGCCTGTATGCAGCCATGCAGACAAACTACTGATGTTGCAGACAGCAAAGCAACTATACCACAGATCTTGTGCCTACAGTCCTTATTCAGGCAAAACCACCATCAGTTTTGCTTGGATAAAGACTGCAGGATCCAGCCCCTTCTCAGTACTGTGTTGTGGTGCACCTAAACACCTCAGTCACAGCTTGTTAGGCAAAGGATTTCAGCATATACTTTCTGCTGTGTAACAAAATGTGACCATTTAAGCTTTGACTTAAAATAAGTGGACATTATCTGTCTATGGAGTGAGTGTTTTGATTTATTCACTGTGTCTTCCTGTTAGATGACAGATTTGTTTGGTGTTTCTTGCTTATGCTACCCTGGGATCTGTAATTTATAGCTCTGTTTTTTTTTAAATACTCTCATAGGAAAGCTCAATAAAGAAAGATCCTTAAAAAGGATTATTTTTACGAACATCTTCAAGGGGAAAAACAGACTTATGTATGCAGTAGTGGTTGTGACCTCTAGGGATATCTTTCTTGTTGAGTGATTGCATAGCCTGAGTCTTTTATTGTTCCTGGTCTCAAACTGGAGCTGTCATTAGAAGACTGAACATATACATGGAAGAGCCTAAAGTGATAGAAGTAAGACATGCATTAAGAAAATCCCTTTGAAATATATTCCCTAATACTTCATTATTATATTTAACTGGACTTTCAGTATGGCTAGAATTTCTCTAAGTCACTATTAATAGTGCTGCTGACATTTTACAATCAAACCCTTAACTACATTTATTTAGTACTTGTCCTGTAAGATGGGGTCATGATTTCTCTGCTTATTCAAAGTAGCATCAAGATACACGAAAACCTAGCAAGATTGAACTCTTACTTGTTCCCATTATCCATATGCCTTGCTAATGTTTTAATTTATTTTGGAAGGGAAAAAAGGATTAGTATAAACACATTTCATGAATAGTGAAATTTACACATACCTTTGTCAAAGTGTCATCCTGTTTTGTTACTTTACTATAGTAGTCTCCAAGTATAAAGTAGAGGCCAGATCCCAAGTTAGACTAGTGGGCAGAACTTCACTCACGACAATTAAGCTAAGTCTAATTACACCCTCAAAGGATGTGGTCCAATGTGACTTCATTTTTCATCATAAGACTGAATCTCAAAGGTTTCTGCCACAGAAATATATGCTGTGCCTCAGGTCAGCAACTAAGAGATGTGCAGTTCTGTAACTGAGCGTGAGATGAGCTTTAAGTAGCTATAATGAACAAAAAAAACCAAAGTTCCAAGTAATTATCAAAGGAATACCTTGAATGTAAATTGCTCATTGAAGACAGGGTTGAGGGTCTTCCTGTGGACTTTTGTTTCATATTTCTTCTTCTTATCAGGCAGCAGAAAAACTTTCACATAGGGATCAGATGTTCCACCCATATCTAAAGCAGGCAGTTCAGCTGCCTGAATAATCCCTACCAAAAGCTGAAAGGCGAGAAAGAGAGAGAAAAAAATGGAATATTGAAGAGGCATTTATGAAAAGAAATATGGAGTCAAAATGGAGATTTTTCTGTCATTTCTACTTTTGTTTCTCTTCTTTTTTTTTTGCTCATTGTTGTGCTTTAAAAGAAAAACAAACAAGCAAATTTTGCTCATTGTTCTGCTTTAAAAGAAAAACAAACAAGCAAAAACAACTATCACCATTTCAAAAACCACTGCACAAAAGGCAAATAAAGCAAAGATACAGAGTGCACAAAACCAATTTTGGAAGGAAGAGTCTCTAGCAAGTGTGTTTTTAAGCAGAAAAGAGGTTTTATAAGGGCAGCTGATTACAGCTAAATATGAAATTCATTTTTTCCAAAAAGACTACAATCAAGTAACTTCCCGCTTGCTACAGCTCCTTGTGCATTAATTTTCTGTGTAGGACATTGTGATTAGGAAATACATTGTTTAACAATCATGAATGTGCAATTTTGACTGTGAAATTTGTATTCTCAAACTACCTCCAAACTGTCTAAAAAAAGAATCAAGGCTAAAGGCAGGTCTTTGGTGTGGGGTAGAATGTTCATAGAAACAAGTGGATCTTGCATTCTCCATATTTCATGTTTATTTCACTATACAAACATGAGTCTTACATGCTAAACAATAAATATTTTAAAGACATATAAGTGACTGCAAGTCAATGAGGATTAGGTTCTAAGTATCTTAAGTCACTTACGAAAGTAGGATTGAGATACTGAAGGCATTGTGGCTCAGATTTTTTTACAGTATTTAGGCATTGCTGTGCTCATTGATGTAGGTCTAATTTTCAAAGGGATTTAAGCACTTTGGTGCCTAAATCCCTTTTCAAAATGTGACAGATTTCTCAATCAATTAGGTGTTACTACACTGAGCACAGCAATGCCTAAACATCTTTAAAAATCTGGGTCCTAGGCATGTTAGATAATTTTATCCACAGTATCAATTTTTCCCAGCCACAGAAGGATGGCTGTCCCGCTCTAAAGCCCAAGATTATTATTACTTGTATTACAGCAATCCCCAGGGAACCAATCGAGATCAGACACTCTGCTAGGCACTGACATACAGGTAGTAAAAGACAGTCGCTGCACTGAAACTCTTACATTCTTAATGGATAACATAAACAAGGCAGTACTATTAAGCTCATTTTAAAGGCAGGGAATTAAACAAAGAGTCTTTATGGCATCAATTTTAGAATATTTAGCCACTTTTATACTACATTCCAATGCCTAATGATTTAGGAGCATAAATCTCACTTTCAAAAGAGATTTAGGAACACAGAAGCGTAAGTCCCATCAACTTTCAAAGTTTTTGAAAATGGGATTTAGGTTCTTAATTAGTAAGGCATTGCAAAACTGCATGCAGCAATGCCTAAATCCCTTAAAACGCTGGGCCTAAATGACTTATGTAAGATTACATGGAAAATGTTGAGCAAAACTTGGAAATATAGGCAGATTCTTCTAACTCAGTGCTTGTACCTAAAAATACTCTTTGTTCACACAGACCAGTTATTTAAACTTTAGAAACTGGAGCTCAAGCAATTATCTATTCTCACATATTCTTAAAAGTGGAATCTATTTTTGCCTGTTTTAAATTCTCAGAGTGAAGCATTTCCTCTTTTACCCCTACTCAGTACTTTTTCCCTTTCTCTCTCTCATTGCAATTCTACATGCTTAAGAGTTCATAAATATATGGATGGATTCAGGATCTACTTCAAATCTTTTACATCAAAGAGAGAAAAATGAATGTATGACTTTCAGTGGAAAAGGAATTCACTTCTATTTTAAAAGTCTCATTCTATAACAGAAACATTATGCTTGAGAGAGTATTTTGGTCAGTTTGTCCCCATTTTTAACCCAGCCGAATACACCATATGGTAATCGGGGTTCTAGTTTCCAGCTCCATGCAGCTGTGCTGCACCATCACAGCATGAACATCTAATCCGAAGAGCTCAGCAGGGAATTTTAATCTTGGGGCAGCAGAGTAAAATAGGAATCCACCACAAATACAATTTCATACCTTAATTAAATACAGTGCACGATCAAAGATGTGGTGTGGGGAAAATAAATACATAGTTTTTATCACATTCTATTTTGGTTTTGGAAAATTTAGTTCTCAAAATCAACGTGGTATTTCCTTTAATAAAATTCACAAAGATCGTTTATTTTCATCTTCTATGGGAATTCAGACTTATTTATCACAAAAGATTTCCAGCTTTTCTTCCCTCCATTAGTTATTTTGCCTTCTGAAGATTCTAAAGTTTCCTACAGATCTCAAGGGATGAAGACTGTCCAGGTAGTGAACTATGGCACCGAGAATTCTGACTAAAGTGTTTGCTTGGGGAGTTGAGGAAAAACTTCCTTCATCCACAGGCAATTGAAAGGCTTTAGAATTCTTTTTGCTTCTTGCTTTGAAAAGCAGAAGCAGTGGCAGTTAGAAGTTAGTTGACATGATCTGGGGAGTATACACCATTTAATTGGAAGTCAGGAGATGATTCCTCACTGTACCATTAACCTGCTGTGAGATTATGCATGCGCTGCTGCGCCTTCCTGTGCTTCCATTTTCCCACCCACATTTTGTTTGTCCTGTCTATTTAGACTGCCTTGCACAATGGGGCCCAATCTGGGTTGGACCTTCCAGGTGATACTGTATACAAAGAGTCAATAAATAATAATAACCATCATTATAAAAAGCTTTGGCAGAAAGTTTGATTAGAAGTGCAGTGTACCCTTAAAATGTATTAAACACAAATGGAGAAGGAATTGTTTCATAAAGCTTCAGGCTTGCTTTCTAATTTTCTTCAGTACAAGCCAGAATGCTTTCAAAGTATCTATTCTTCATGTCTGTATTTTTGCAGTCTCCTTTCACCCGCTCAGCAATGTATCACAGGTTGTCTGTTCCACACCTGGTTGTTCTGGAAGTCATAATCCAAAGAGTATTGGATTTTCCCTAGTTTTTCCTCTTCTTTGGGTTCTTCTTTATCTTCCCCATCAGTCAGCCCAGTCTCAGCATCATCATCCTTAAGGGCCTGCAAACAAGAAAAGAAACATAATAAATCTGAGTAGCTCCTTAGCCCTAAGCTAAAATAGATACTCTGTCCTCAAATCTATTACAAAGCCATTAAAAGCAAGCATGATGGCACAAATCCATATATGCTATTTACATATATTTATAGTATTCAGGTTGCACAAGAAAACTTTTTTAAAAAATCAGCAAGCAGCAGGGAAGCAATGGAAGTAGGAAGAAAGCTTCTTGGGACATAGCCAGCAAACACTGTTACTAAGTCTGAAAACAGAAAAAAAAAGTCAACTTGATATTTTAATAAGTCTGCTCTAATCACATTGCTTCTTAAAGAGGCAAGTGTAGACAAACATGCTATCAAATAAGCAAAGTCACATTCATTCATCTTAAAAAGATCTCAGCAATGTCAAATCTAGCTGTGCATGCTGTGAATTATTTGCAGCAGAGCCATGTGTTTCTGTAGGCTTACTTCTGGGGAAAAGACAGTGTTGTGGTTGAGTTCTTCCTACATTTGACATGATGTTTTTATTTAGGATGAATATGGAAGCAAAAGGTATCACCATGCCACTAGCAAATGCATGTTCATAAAAAAGGCCACCACAATAGTCCCATCGTCCTTTTATTCATTTTTTATACCAAGCTAGGCTGATCCAAACTGATTTATGCGGGCACTGATTTTAGTAAATTTAGAGAGAAATATAATTTTGTCTATTATATAAAACAGCACCAGATTCTACACAGAAGAAAAATACAATTTGTAACCATCATTCTAAACTGTACCAGAAAGCAGAAGTATTCTTTTGCTAAAGAATTCATACTATTATTAAAGCATATTAAAAGTGCCCCCCCAGCAAACATTTGTCTGAGGGAGAACTAAGTGATGGGGCCAATGGCAATAAAATGACTAATATTATCTCATAAGCATGAAAATAATATCCAGAAAGCCAGGGTAAAGAGCAAAACACTATATACTTATCAGGAATTGACATGAGAATACTTAATTCATCTCAGTTTTATACTCTTGTATGTACCTTTCCAAAAACTCCTACAATTTCAGTAACTTACCCAAAGTCAGTAAGAGGCATAAAGATACCATATACTGATCTTACTTCTGTTGAAACAAATGGGAGTTTAGTTTTTTTTATTTCCATGTGAAGAAGATCGGGCCCTATATCTCAATGCCCCTCTTTATTGAAAGCCCTAACTGCTTTAGCTCAGAAAGTGAACTAGTAAGACCTTGTTTCAACAATCTTTGTTTTTTTTTATTAATAATCTCTTTAATGAACATATTGAATATCTGCCTGCATTTGAACTGTAAAAAGGAGGGACTCATTGAAAGAAAATATAGGAAGAAAAAAATAGAAACACCCTCCCTTCCCCCCATGAACTATTGGACTAAGATTTCTGGAGGGTAAAATGCTAAATATTTTCCTAAAAAGGAAAAAAATAGAAACACCCTTCCCTCCCCCCATGAACTATTGGGCTAAGATTTCTGGAAGGTAAAATGCTAAATATTTTCCTAAAAATCCGAGAGTGTTCTTTTACCTAGAGAAAGTTGGCATGTTTGCTTCAGTAGATTATATGAATACATATTGTTATATATATCAATTTTATCAAGAAAGTGGCATAAAGTACAAAGCTTTGATTATATTCAAAAGAGCTCAAATTACTCATTGTTAACAAAATGCATAGAGTACAAGACCGTGAGAGAGCCACTTGTTTGTTTTTGTTTTTCCAGTCATGATTAGATGGTTAGAACTAATAGACATCATTTGTTAGGAAACAAAATTCCAGGTAGATGTATATACTTGAGGTCCAGGCACAAAGAAGGTAAAGGCTATACCTACAATTGGTACTAGTTGCTAAAGAAATATTGGCTGCAAAAGCCAGACTACCAGTGTCACATCTGAGGCTTTGTCTACACGGATAATTGAGTGACAAAGCTTTTGTCCTTCAGGAGTACTTAAACCCCCGACCCCAAATGAAAAAAGCTTTGCCAAGGCAAGTATGAGTGTAAACAGTGCTTTGTTCAACACTGCTCATGAGGATGGAAGATTTTTGGTGGCAAAAATGAGGACTGTTTATGCCGCCTGACTTTTAGCGAGTGTTGACACAGCTCTTTTGCTAAAAGCGGTATAGTGTAGACGTATCCTGAGTTGTGACACTCAGGCCTTGAACCCTGGTTCACATTTTCATGCTGACTTCATGAAATCTCATGGAGCAGAGCCCAGGATTGGGAACAAAAGTTTATGCGCTGTCACTTAAATTTAGTCCATCATGCTAGAAGGGAAGGGGCTCCACTGCTATGCTACCCGGCCCTTCCTTATAGTGGAGTACCTTGTCTCCATGCACTGCTGAGATTGGGTGGGGAGAAGCTAGTCAGAGACAGATAGTTTGGGAGGGACACCGAATCAGACAAGGGGCAGACAAGAACTAAACCAAAGTGGTTTGAGTAGGGAGTCATTGATGGGGAGAGCAGAGGTGAAAGGAGCAGTATGAGACAGCTTTAATAAAAGCCTGTTCTTCTTAGCATCCTAACTCAATCTCCACCCTGTCCCCTGCCCTGGGACTGTGATTCACCGCATCTCTGTGTCATCACACCAGTGCTCAGAAAAACTCATGCATTACAACTTGAGTTCTCAGCAAAAACCATCGAACTCCTTAGTCCATTGTAAATGGACTAGGAGGTGAGCACCGGTGATTCAGATAGGAACACTGCAAGCAAAAGCATTAATTTGTCAAGAAACAATTGCCAACTAATAGTCAGATTCAGAATTGTACAGTACTATAATTAACTTGCAATCTGACGTGAATAGGCTAGGACCTCAGCTTATGTCAATCAGCCTATTTTCACTGAAATCAATGGATTAATGTCCATTTATGCAAGCTGTGGCTCTGGTCCAGATATTACAGATACTTATTCTACCATGAATAATGGGTGCCAATTTATGAGAGCTCTTATTCAAAATATACATTATTATATATCTTAATGGGGGAAAAGGTTTAAATTGGATCAAAATGTCCTATGAAGGAAAGTCAGTAAACCTGAAAGAGAGAGATGGTAGAATATTTTTCTTGTGAAATATTTTATTTTGGCTGTATTAAATGGATATATAATATGACTTTTACATTTCCTAATCCCTGAGCTGCTGGTCTCTCCTTTTGCTATGGCCGAATGACAATTTTTCAAATGGTGGCAAAGACGGTGCTGCAAAAATGATGTGCCTGACAACAAAGGATAGCATTCAAGCAAGGACAATTACATCCAAATCTCCACCCTCATTTAAAAAATAAACATAAATTTCTATGCCCTTTAGTTATGAAGAAAAATCTGAAGGTGCGACCATGCATAATTGACAGAGACAGATGACTGAGTCGGCAGAAAGCCAGGAATAATAGCTCTAAGCAAGGTGAACTGTCCCATACATCTAAGGTGTGTGTTAACATCCTGACCCACTGATCAGATGATGCTTGCCACATCATGCCCGCAGAAGTCTGTGTGGCAGGAGAAGACTCAAACAGGTCCAGGCAGATAAACCCTGGCTGTTTGGGTGAGCACTGTCCATCCTCATGTATCTTGGGAGGAGAGGGAGTGTTGTTGTCCCTGCTTCTCTTGAGAGCACGGGTATTTGTGCTGCCATTTCTTGGGGAGAAAGGTAGGCCACATGTTATGGCCCTTGCCTTTCTGGGAGTGAAGAGAAAACATCTCCAACTATATTTTTAATGATGTTAGTCACCCACTGATTCATTCACAGAGTGGTTGTTGAGAAGTGGTTTCTATAAACTAGGATACTATCTGCAAAGAACAAGAGTTATAGGCAAGTAATTTATTCTCACCGGGGAAGAAAAAATATCCTACACAGTGCCAAAGGCACAAACAAATCTTAAAACAAACATATAAAATAGGAAACACAGGAAATTATAGTAGAGGACTTCTACACAGTGCTAAGTGCACACAGACCACAAGTGAATTATTAGAATCCTTTCCACATGCATTGCTGGAGGAATATGGTAGGTAATAACTGGAAGAAGAAAAAAGGAAAGGCACTATATTACCTTTCCTGTAATATATTACCTTTCCTGGACACTGTATCAAGTGTCCAGATCATTCTTTCTGACCTTGGACCAGAAATACAGGAGACTTATGAAACTTTGAGAATAAGATCAAATGCGCTGATTTTACCAAGGTCAGCTGAAGAGGAGGGACTGGATGTTACCATTGCAAGCTGTATACAATAATTTTGATCTTTAAGGAAGGATTTTGCTTTTGAATCAAAGGTTGGTTCTTAAATAGAATCTGGGTCAAAAAGAAGTTGGCACAGAAGTTTCGCCTCTGATACTTCTACTCTGTTTCAAAAGAGGACAAAGAACAGGATTGTGTCAAAGTAGTTGAAGCACCATCTAGGGATTTTCATTTTAGATTGAGATTCTTTAGGAATATTTAAAATAAGTTTATTGTGTCCCTCAGTGTTTTTTTTTAAACTGATCGTAGTGTTTTAGTTTTTAGTTCCAATATTTTGTGATATAGATTGCTTTAGAACTATTAAAATAGTTTACAATTATAATTTATCTTTCTCTTCAAGCCTATACATTTCATGGTACTTGGGTAGCACTAGTTTATAGGGAGACAGATGTAAAAAATGTCTCTCAGAAATTCTTAAAGGCCACTAGATATTTTTAAAAATAATTTAAATGAAATATCCAGCATAAAAGGAATACATTATGGTGTGATTGTATTTGCACTAATTTGTAATGACTTTGTAATTCTCTCATGAGATTTCACCATTTCTGAGTAATACACACAAAAAACAACACAATCATCATTTTTATTATCATATATATATATATGTATGTATGTTTTAGATATGTGTGTTTGTATACATATATGTAAACATACAGAGCAATGCAAAAAAAATCCTGTTTTAATGCAACATAAAGGTTGCAAACTAATATCACAAAAAGGCAAGAAATTCAGAAGTTAAGGTTCCAGCTACAATGTAATTCCAT